TAAAATTGTATTTAATGCCAATACTTTAAATTGATAGATTCAAAAACTTGAAAATCAAGTTTTTGTTTGATATTGCCGTGCACTACTCTCATAAAAGTGTATATGACCAATTTTGTTATCATGGTTTTGCCAAAATCGAAATCCGACAGAAATCTTTTTTATTTCTAAACTAATTGCCATTCTTATGTAGTCATCATATCTATATTCGGACTTGATTTCTTGAATTAACAATTCCTACAAGTTGAAATATAGTGAAGGCAAAATGATAATTATATATTCGGTGCGATATTCTAAAAACAATATACATGAAAAGTTGAAAAAACTCACCTAGGTACTTTCAAAATTTTATAAAAACTACTGACGATTTATAAAAATTGATTTCTACTGTGCTGATCATGATCGAGTAAATTGACAAATAACTGGCTTAAAGAGTAATCTCTAAAGGCTTAAATTGCTATCTGGAGTCCTATTAAATTGAATTATGAATAAAAAAAGATAAATCTTTTATACTTAATTCAACTCATAAAATCATAGTTAAGGGTCACTTTGATTGGGCAGCTATCAAGATCGTTCACAAGTACTACAATTATTGAAGCAATTATTATGGTAATTTTTTTGCTGAAGATTTATATCATGAAATGTGAATATTAAATTTTAGCCAATCAGTAAAACTCTGATAAAAACACTTGATTAGCTAAACTATTTTTCACTAAATCAAAATTGAGCACTGATCTAAGTGCTTGAGTACCCTAACTTACTATTGCAAATTTTAGCCTTAAATAAAAACAAGTTTGCTTCATCTAAAGTATAGAACTTATCTTTCATTTTGTTAGCCAACATTCATTCATACATACAATTTAAATCCATTTCAATATATAGAAATATACTCTCAAGAGTCTTATAAAAGATGTCATCTCCATAGTGCAGACTATTCTATAAACAATTAAAGTATACCATATGATTTAGAATTGTCACTTAAAAGTTGGTTTAACATATTATCTAACTATACCTTGAATCCAGAATATAGGCACAAAAAAATCACATATTTTGGATCTTTCACATGGCTTAAAATAGAATTTTGGATTTGGATACTACTATTTTTCAATGAAAAAATTAAGCTCTCATTATACTTATGTATTCTCATCATTAATCAGTTTGTCCCATCTATTAGGATTGTATTCACCAAAAATTTCATCAGTATCTTCAACCTTTACATCTACAACAACATTTGTTTGACTATTATATAAATTCTAAAATGAAGCAGAAATAAAACCATTTCTGGTTCCATGAAGAAGTAATTCAAATTCATATAGATTGATTGTTACAGAATATGCATTTGATCTTTTATCAATCCATGAAGCAATTTTAGCCATGTGTACTTCACTGATAATTGTTAAAAATGGCTCAGCCATTCTGGGTAATAATGCTTGTTTTAAAACTATACGATGTAGAAGAATTACTAGAAATATCAGGTTGTTCAAAGGTTTCATTTTTACACAAGTAACAGTAGATATTTGAGCACCAATATCAACAAAAAAAAAAAATTAGAAAAAAACAA